TTGATAATGAGCCAGCCAAATATATATATTTAATTCTTGCTGACTGTAATGGGCAATATTTAAAAGACATAATTGATTCACTAAAATCAGTGAGACATTGCAATACTGTGGCTGAATTCAGTACAATCAACATCTGTTAATTCCATGCAGTCATTTTTTCTAGTGTATACTAATCCATTAATTACTGTACCCATTTTCAAAATTCTAATTTCCTTTATAACTAAATTTATTTCTAAATCAATTTCTAAAATTGTGTTAGTTAAAGGAACTCTCACAAAAGAATTTAACTATGTCATCAGATAGATAGATAGACATAGATATAATATGACTTCATTTCACTTAACTCCGTATATACTGTATGTAAATAATTGGTTCCACTTCTGATCTGATCCACCGATTTCTTTTAAACTGGTTTTCCAAGCAATGCATTTAAATACATACAGAGTGTAAGGCAAAAAAAAAAAATCGTAGGAAATCATATGCTTCTTTAGTTTGCAGTGAAATAATCATACTGCTTGTCAGTAAACTAGTTTTGTCCCTTTTACACTTAATATTTATACACATCATCATTAACTTTTTCCAACAATTATCTTGTTAGAATTTTGGGAGCCAGGAGGAAAAATCTGCATTCCTTTGCTTATGATGGCCATGCAAATATTTCCAGTTTTGATTGTTTGTGGATCATGCTAAGAAACATTAATTTGTTGGGCAGCTTTCTTGTATTAATCTTAACTTCCTTTCCCCTGTCCCCCAGCACCAAAAAATCTTCAGAAATAATTTAGTGGGAGTAACTCTATGTTTTAAGCATATATACCATTGCTTCTATTTTGTTCAAATGTCTTGTTACCTATTATCTTTCCTGGCTACGTTTGAAGTATCGCTAACTTACAAGCTACTGGGTTTTTGGCATCATACAGGAAAGGACGAGGACACGCATACAGACGCTTAATTATAATTATGCAGGTTATTGTTGTCAATTAGTATTCTTTTAAAAGATTAAAGTTTCAATTACAGAAACTTTGTGATGCTGTTCTATTTTTGTGCTTTCAAAAAAGAACACAATAATAGATAGTTTGTATCAAATTTATTATTATTTACAATAAAACCAACTGAAATCAGTGGGTTTTACATTAGTCAAATCTAGTATATGATCATCTGGTTTTTGAAGTAGAGAAAGGTTTGGATCCAGCAAAGCACCTTTGGGTATCAGAAAGTTTTCTGCTGTTCTTAAAACTAATTTCTTTTTTTCTTTCTTTCTTGGTTTCTCCAAAAATTAACTATAAATGACAATTTTATTGCTAGCAAAGTTTTTGAATTTCCTTCTTCCCACCTTCTTGATTAATATGTAAGAGAAACAGATATTCAAGTTTAACTTCATTGTAGCCACACACATAAAATATCTTGTCATTTGTTAGCAGCAGTTTCTATCTGATGGTTTGTGAGTGGATTTCTACTCATGCAGTAGAACTTTCCCTTTCTACCTATGGAGTCCATGTATGGAGGTTCTCCTTCTCTGAAGGTTTTTAAGAAGAAGATTGACAGCCATCTTTCATAGATAGCTTAATTGATTTTCTTGCACATTGCAGAGGTTGAGACTAGAAGCTTGTTTTGGTCCCTTCCAACTCCATAATTTTATGATTCTATTATTCTCCTACCCCGCTGTAGCCAGCCAATCCAACAAATTGATTCTGGGATGTTCCCCAGCTATTTGGTACAAGTTTTGAGAAAAGCATGCAGTCAATAATAGAAAGAGAAGGACTGGTGGACGTCATTCCATCACTGGGAGATGCTTGAGAATACATTACTATGGACTAACCATTCTGTTCAACCAAACCGAGGAATTCAGTAGAAAATCAGAATTTCATTGACTTTTTGATCACTCAGACCACTTCAGTCCCAAAATCACTTAATTTAACTATAGATAGTGTCACTGACAGTACTTAAAATGATGATGATGATGATGATGATGATGATGATGATGATGATGATGATGATGATGATGATGATGATGATGATGATGATGATGATGATGATGATGATGATGATGATGATGATGATGATGATGATGATGATGATGATGATGATGATGATGATGATGATGATGATGATGATGATAAAATACACACTGGCACATACAATTTGGTCAGTGAAAATTCCATTATGATGACTGCAAACCTTAAAAATGTAAGTTAAATATTAGATACTAGCAACAAGAAGAGAGTTTGTGAAAAGGGAAGGAAAATGGGGTCACCTTTGTCCTATTTAGCCAGGAGTGATTAGCCAGGTTTTGTGGATTAATTTTAGTTCAGCCTGTTTTCTGCATAAGGTGATCTTTTCAAAACTATCTTAATTGCTGGAATACAAGGATGTGTTAATCTTTTAATTACAACAACATGCCAGCTCTACAGAGAATAACATTATAGCTTATGTCATTGTTGAGCATTTTTTGCTAAGCAGCACTTGATAAACTCTCCTTGAAAAGACACTCGGATTCCTGCAAACAGTTGGAAGGTAACAATTATGATTATTAAACTGAGGCTAAGACTTAATTAAATATTTAATCTGAAAGAGAAAAATGTTCATGAAGTGAATTTAGCATCTCATTTTATATGAGAAACCATTTGGAGTTGTATCAGAGCAGAGAAAATCCAGAGCCATCTTGAGCAGGAATGCTAAGGAGAAAACAATTCCCTCTCTTGTTGCCAGCAATCATATTTTGGATTGTTTCTACAGTGCCATCAACTCTCCTCTGCAGGTTGATCAAGGCAACAAAAAGAGTTGACAAATGTCTAGTCCAAGCAATGGATTACCTATTCATAACATATAGTCTTCATTTGAAGATGGAAAGTTGGCATCTCTGAGGATTTTTTTTCCAGTTTTTCAAATATTACTTGATAAGCCTCTTTTTAAGATGGATACAAAGTTTCCCCATACAATGGCTGATGTGGGTCTTCCAAGCTATGGGCTGTGTTCTGGAAGTTTTGGTTCCTAATGTTTTGCCAGCATCTGTGACCGGCATCATCCTGGGCAGAGAGAACCGCTCCTGTCTGTGCTACTGTCCTCTGAAGATGCCGGTCACAGATGCTGGCAAAACGTTAGGAACGAAAACTTCCAGAACACGGCCACACAGCCCGGAAGACCCACATCAGCCATTGTATTCTGGCCATGAAAGCCTTTGATAATACATTTCCCCATACAGTTGTTATATTCCTCAGCAGCAATTATAAACTGAGATGGAATATTCAGTGGAGAAGATTTGCATCCCCATGTTTATTTATTTGTTTAACTTCTACCACACTGTTCATTTTGTTGTGTAGATGACATCACCTGATGGAATGCAATGTTCCCGATGTCTAAACTAGAAGAATCAGGAGTCAGGAAGGTCACCAATATACCAAAAAAGAAAGATTACCCTTTTTTAAAAAAGGAAATAGGAAAATTTGACTATTTGGATCATTTACTTTTTCAGCCAAAAAAAAAATTGTTTAACACGGGGGAGAAAAATATTTATTTATTATATTTGTATGCCACTGCAGTTACAAGACTGTCAGTGGCTCACAACGACAATACACATTTCTATGCTGTTTTTGTTTTCCTGTAGTTATCTATGTGAGCTGTTATTAGTCTTGTGACTGTGGTGGCATACAAATGTGATAAATAAATGGCAAAGAAACCCAGCATAATATATGATATCAGGCTCCAAAAGCTTCCAGAGAAGCTTGGATTTAGAATGGCTGAAATTTGTTATAGTTAAAGTATTATATAGATTCCTGTTGCTTATTATTACAAGGTTTCTGTGAACAATATCATATTTTTCCAAGAACTTTTTACAAACTAATAGTTCAGTTAAAATACTAATCCTGCTCTCAAGCAAAGGTAGAATGCTACATGTTATACAAAGTTGGACCTCTTTCAATCTGTTTGAAAATAAATTATATTAGATACATGCACACACACCCAGCCACAGTGCAGAAACAACTGGCTATTCTATGCAGAGCTACACATAAACCACCTTTAAGATTTGCCTAAACCTGGAATACAAATGAATGTATTGCATAGAAATACATTAGGCAGTGTATGAGGATCACAGTGGTGAATAATTTCCACAATCATTAAATCTATTTTAATACTTACATAGTTTTTCCAGGGATCACCTGAAATTTAAGTATTTGTCTATCCCAGAAATTTGAATATGTGACCAAAGGCAGTTTTGCAGCTACTGTAACATCTGTGGTATGTATATGTGTATGCAAAACAAAATATATTATTGCTATCTATCTCATTGAAATAAACCATATTTTCTAGATGTACACATCACAACATTTTGTATTTATTATCTATAAAACTTTAACCCCCATTTTCATTGTTAAAAACAATAAATTGTGGAGTCCTTGGTGTTCTCTAAGCTAAGGACTCCACAGTTCAACCCTGAGTTACTTATATTCTTAGATTTTTTAGTTTTTTTATTTTTGTAATGTCTGGTTTTTATAACTTTTAATTGTATTTCTGATTTTAGTTTG